TGCCTCTCCCTCCCACTCTCTCTCAGCCCTCTCCTGGCTCCTGCAATCTGTCTTTGCCCCATTCTACTTCCACTGTTTGTCTCCCTCTCCACCGCTCTGTCCTCCCATGCCCCAGCCCTCTGGTGGTTCTGCTAGTGCACTTGCTGACTTTACGCTAGGGCAGGCACTCTCCTGTACCTATATATACTGACCTATACCTGTATGGTTGTCCCCCAACCAGTCTCACCTCCCACAGTGCCACTTACCTGCAGCTGACCATGGTTCCACAAATGCTAAATGGAAAATTCCAGAAAAAAAGAATTCGGGAGTATTCAGTTGAGCAGCCTTTCTGAGTAACAAGATTAAATCTCACTCACACAAGCCTGCTGTGTCTTGCCCAGGACCTAAGTCATCCCTCTGCCCAGCGTATCCACACTGTATATGCTGCCTGCCCGTTAGCCACCTAGTAGCCGTCTTGGGGGCCACATCAGCTGTCATCATGGCAAAATGCCTGTGTTCATGTAGCCCTTATTCTACTTGCTAAAGAAGAATAATGCAAAGGAGGAGTGGAGGACAGGTTTGCTCTGGCACTGTGGGCCAGTGCAGCAGGGCGTGCTGGAAAAACCCAGACCATATGGGTCGGATACTATGTGTGGTCCCAGGCGTTCACTGCGGTCTTTGACACAAACCACTGTATCGCCCTGCTTGGCCTTGCCGATGGGAAACGAGCGTCTCATTCACAAAACGGTCGTTGCCACGGGAAAGTCCATTAGGTAGGAGGGGCTGAAATGTATCGACAGGCCTAAGAGCTGGTGAGGCCTTGGTGACTTTGCCCTTGTGGGATGCCGGCCTTGCAGGTGGCAGCTTGGCCAGCTACCCCATAATGCCAGCTCCTGGGACCCAACTCCTTGCCCCATCACTGGTGCCTCCCAGGGAGCTGGAGTCAGAGGTGTGGCTGTCTCAGACCTGGGCAGGCGTCCCACAGGGTGTCTTGACCCCTGCAGCAAGTGCCCATCCCCAGAGAGGATCCTTGCTTGGGCACCCAGCACCACAGCTGGTCCGGGCAGAGATGGAGGTAGACTCCATGCCTCCTGATCCCCCCTCTGGGGCCCCTTTTGGCTTTTTCTAATCTTGCCACTTCGAAACCTGGATCAAAACCCAGCAGCCGGACGCGAAGGCTCCTCCATCGTCTCCCCAGCCCCCTGGAAGGCCCACCCACTTCGGTGGTCATGGGTTCTCACTCGCACCGCTACCCTGGAGAAGCACAAGCCATCTCCCTGTGCTCTAGCTGTCTGCAGAGACTGCAAGCCACAGACACCGAGGTTTAAGGCTTGTCGGTTTTGCAGAGAGATGGCTGCTGCCTCCCGGCGAGCGCTGATAAAGACCTAGGTAATCGCAGAAGAACGCTGCCCGGGGGAAGATGACGGAACTCCCACACAGAAGGCGAGCAGATGGTGCGATCACTGCGTCTCAGGCTGCGAGTGGAGTCGCCGGCCGCTAGGTGGCGTCAGCGTCCAGGGCCGCGCGGCCGTGCCGGGAGCCGGAGGCCTGGGCGCGCTCTGTAAGCTGACTCACTGTGGTTCATTTCCTGACCGGGGACTGCGCATCTTCCCTGGGGCCAAGTAGGAAACCACCGCGTCCGTAAAGCCCCAGATCGCTTCCAACAAGTGCTCAGGGCCCCTCTGTGGAGAAAAAGCAGCCAAAACGACAAGGCATCTAGGCAGCACCTGGTGCCCTGGGTTGGGTGCTGGGTGCTCCCATTCAATTCACGGCCTCCCCGGGGCCTCCTCCCTCCCCAGCCTCGCCCGCTGCCTGCAGGGCAGAGTGGCAGGCACAACACTGGCTCAGGACGTGATGTCAGAGAGAGGACAAAGGGACCCCGTGGTGTGGGGGTGGTGTGGTGTTGGGCGTGATGAGATGAAAAGGTGGGGTGGGGTGATGGCCAGTTAGCCCCTGAAGGATTCCTATTCTAGTCCCTGTTGTCTTCTTATTTGTCAGGAAGCTTCCTCCCCGAATGGAGAGCCCCTCTGGTTTCTAGCTCCAAAGCACCCCAAAGCCTCGTCAGCTCCCTTGGGATGCCCACACCCTTCCGGTTTGGTGTGGGGACCTCTTCCCGCTGGTTTGGTTTCATAAGCAGGCCCCTGATCCCCTCCAGACTCTCGGTTTCTTCTTGTTCAAGCTGTTCCTTCTTTGTGCCTGTATTTTCTCATCTGTAGAACAGAGATAACTACTTGTCTCATAGCAGTGTTGCAAGGATTAAATGAGCATTTTATCAAAAGCAGTGGAAGCAGGGCCTGGCGGATAGACTCAACAAATATTGGCTGTAGTTTACTCTTTTTTCTTTTTGAGATTTATTTATTTATTTGGAAGGCAGAGCTACAAAGAGACAGAGACAGAGAGAGGGAGAGAGGTTTTCCATCCATTGGTTTACTCCCCAAATGGCTGCAACAGCTGGAGCTGAGCCCGTCTGAAGCCAGGAGCTTCTTCCAGGTCTCCCATGCAGGTTCAGGGGCCCAAGGACTTGGGCCATCTTCCACTGCTTTCCCAGGCCACAGCAGAGAGCTGGATCGGAAGTGGAGCAGCTGGGACTCAAAATGGCGCCCATATGGGATGCCGGCACTGCAGGCATCGGCTCTACCTGTATGCCACAGTGCCGGCCCTGTAATTTACTCTTGCTGTTCCTATGGCTACGACTGTTGCTGTAACCGTCTATCACTCCTGTTGTACTGGTACTACACTGTATTGCTGTCTCCTGAATCACTGCTAACACTATTGTTGCTGCTACCATTTGCTTTTCTACTGCACCTCTTACCCCTGATTTGGATTTTGAGCCCCTGTTTCTCCTAGTTGTAGAAAATAGTTGGCCTGTCAGTTTAAGGGGAACTCACTGTCTTCTGCATTTTTAGCTAAGTAATTAGGGGAATCCTGGCTCCTACCACTTTTCTTAGAGGATGAGCCAACCTCATGGAGGTTTGTGTCTGATCGTGCAGTGCAGAGGAAGTGTGTGTGTGTGTGTGTGTGTGTGTCTATGTGTGTGTATGTGGGGGCACAGTGGTTCACGACTGTCCCATGTGCACCAGGCACTGCACTTTGATCTTTGGCCTCTGTCTTTGCATATCTAGGTCTTAGGCAGCCTCTGTGGAGCCATGTTTGGGCTTGGTAGGGGTATGGAAGGGATGGGGAGCACCCAGAGATCCTCAGGTGGTCTCTGGCCTAAGGCTTCCTGAGGCCCAGCGAAGGCTTCTTGCCCCAGCTCTTCCCTCCACCAGCTGTCGCGGTGTGGACCCCTTTTGACCAGAGACCTGCAGGTTTCCCTGGGCTTTCCCCGTGGGAAGTAAGGCACAGATCTCCTTGTCCTGGAGTCCCTGCAGGCCAGGGAGTTTCAATCACAGGTTCCTCTGTGCTGGGAAGGGGGCCGGGAGGAGGCTTTTAAAATCACAGAGGTGACCGGTGAGGGTCAAGTATTGCCAACCATGAAGTGAGAGTAGCCTGGCAGGAAAGGCCCTGGGTGTGGCCAACCCACCTGTCCGCACTGCAGATGGGTGGTGGTAGGGCCAGAGGGAAGAAAGGGAAAATCTGGGTTACAGAATGGACGAATAAACGCAGTGTCTTGGACTGCAGGCAGGCCCGGCCCACGCAGGCGGATGAGACACCGCCAAAAGGGAACCTGATGACTGTGCAAGCAAGAGTTTCTACTGCATGGGCTTTGTGCTTGAAAATAGCTTGTTTTGCACAGTTTGGGTGCTTATCTTCTAATTTTTGCAGTATTTATGAAGAAATATGAGAGTTCTTCAAAAAGTTCTTAGAAAATGTGTAATATGAAAAATGCCATGCGTGGGGCTGGGTTAAACCACTGCCTGCAATGCTGGCATCTCACATGGGCACCAGTTCAAGTCCCGGCTGCTCCACTTCTGAGCCATCTCTCTTGTAATGCACCTGGGAAAGCAGCAGAAAATGGCCCAAGCACTTAGGCCTCTGCCCCTCATGTGGGAACCTGGATGGATTTCCAGGTTCTTGGCTTCTGCCTGGCCCAGCCCTGGCCATTGTGGACGTTTGGGGAGTGAATCAGTGGATGGAAGATGTTCTCTCTCTCTCCTCTCTGTCTCTCACTCTCCCCTTCTTCCTCTCTCTCCCTCTCTCTCTATAACTCCACCTTTCAAATAAATAAGTGCATTTTTTAAAAAAAAGAAAATAGAAAAATTTTGCATGGATTTTAAGAAATCAAATCATATCTTTTAATTCTGTTTTCCTGCCAACTTTCTGGAGAGCCCTCAGATGTAAACTCTAGCCTCCTCTTCCTGTATCATATACTAAGAAAGCAATGGATTAATAAAGTTTCCTTTCATTTGTTCAAAAGATTTTATTTATTTATCTAAGAGGTAGAGTTACAGACAGAGAGAGGGAGAGACAGAGAGAGAGCTCTTCCATCTGCTGGTTCACTCCCCAAATGGCTGCAATGGCAGGAGGTAAGCTGATCCAAAGGCAGGAGCCAGGAGCTTCTTCCAGGGCTCCCACGTGGGTGAAGGGACCCAAGCACCTGGGCCATCCTCCACTGCTTTCCCAGGCCACAGCAGAGAGCTGGATTGGAAGTGGAGCAGCCAGGACAGGAACCAGAGCCCATTTGGAGGCTTTACCTGCTATGCCACCATGCTAGCCCCTCTTATTACTTGTGACCAGAATTGTTTGTCAGGAGCAAAATTGATCCTCTTAGATTGTGTTGATTAAAGACGCACATCAACATACCCAGTCCACTGCCTGTGCTGTGTAGTTTGAGAGCAAAGAATAGTTTTTACAATGCAAATGGTTGGAAACTTCAAAAGTGGAATAATTCAGGGCATGTGAACACTCTGTGAGATTCAAGCTTCAGTTTCTATAAATGAAGCTTCATGGGAACACAGCCATGCTCACTCTTTATGTATTGTCTGTGGCTGTTTTAGCACTGCATGGGCAGAGTTGAGTAGCTGCTGCAGAGACCATATGGCCTGCAAATCTGAAAATATTTACTGTTTGACCCTTCGCAGGAGGAGCTGGCTAATTCCTGGTGCAGCGTGTAGGGGCAATCTGACGTGAAGGGGAACTCGGGGGAGAACGTTCGGTCTGGAAGTTTCTCTATGCAGCCTACAGGTAAGGGCAGAGCAGCCTCCCCGCGGAGGCGTTGACCTTAAGGAAAGCAGGCAGGAGAAGTTGTGCTCCCATCAGCCTGCGCATGGGGTTTGTGTGAGCCCCACCCCTCCTCTGCAGCGCTCAAAGCCTGCTGTTATTTTATGCCACCTGCATAACCTGATTTGCATCTTCAATGAATATCTAGCTACCACTTGGACTTTTTTCAGAATAAGGAAAATGGCTTTTATGAAGCCATCTGTAGATGAAAAATAAATAGCAGCCAACGGTCCTGGAATATGTGATTGAGGGAGCTGGAGCTCAAAAAAAAAAAAAAAAAAAATCAACAGCTGATTTGCTCCCCAAGTCAAGAAGCTACTAAGGAGAGTTCAGTGTTTACAAGAAGAGAGAGGCGGGCGGAAGCCAGCTGGGGGATGAAGGGAAAGTACCAGCCTTGTGGAGCCCAGTGGCACACTGGGCTCAGGGGCAGGGCCGGAGCTTGTCCTCTTGCCCCCAATCCCCTGCTCTCTGGAAGCTTCTTGGTCTTTTCTTCTTCCAGAGCCTGGTAGAGCTTGCCAGTCCTGGGACCCCACTTGTCTCGGGGCTGCACTTGCCACACAGGTGGTTTTCCTGTAGATCTTCCATCAAAGAGGATTTCGGCATCTGAACCCAAGGCTCAGTCTGACGGAGCCTTGGCCTTACCAGTGGCAGGTTGATGATTAGATTAACCCTCTCATTCTTTCGTTCCTTCCCGTCACTGCCTGGAGCCCTCCAGTTGCCCCGAAGAGTTGTCAGTGGCAGATTGCAGATAATGTGTCAATTCTTAGCTGCTGCTGCTGCTTCTTTTTTAAAGTTTCTATGTATGTATTTGAAAGAGAGGAAGAGAGAGAGAGAAAGAGAGAGAGAGAGATCTTCCATCCACTGGTTTACTCCCCAGATGGCTGCAGCAGCCAGCGCTGGGCCAGTCTGAAACCAGGAGCCAGGAACTTCTTCCATGTCTTTCATTTGGGTGGCAGGGGGCCAAGCACGTGGGCCATGTTCTGCTGCTTTCCCAGCTCATTGGCTTATTCCACTGGCAGGGAGCTGGATCAGAAGTAGAGAAGCCAGGACATGAGCTGGTACCCATAAGGGATGCCACCATTGCAGATGGTGGATTTACCCAAGTGCCACAATGCTGGTCCCAAATTCTCAGCTTCTAAATGCAGAGTAGAGAGTGAAACAGAGATTGAGGAAGTAAATGTGATGAATCAGAACAATTCCCAGGGTGGGCGTCTAGCTGAGGGGTTAAGATGCTTATGTCCCCTGTTGGAGCGCTTGCATTTCATTCTAACTCCAGCTCCTGACTCCAGCTTCTGGCCAGTGTAGACCCTGGGAGACAGCAATGAGAGCTCAAGCAACTGAGTCCCTGTCACCCATATGGGAGACCTGGATTGAATTCCTGGCTTTGAGCTGCAGCCTAGCCCCAAATATTGTGGGCATTTGAGGGATGAATCAATGGGTAGTACCTCTCTCTCTCTCTCTCTCTCTCTCTCTCTCTCTCCTTCTCAAATCAAATCAAATAAGTCAATTATCTGTACCAATTGAATATCTGTTGTCTGAAATATTTGGCCTTAAGCATTTCAGGTTTATTATTCAGATTTTGTAACATTTGCCTAGACCTCACCGATTACATACCCTTAATCCAAAAATCCAAACTCTGGAATGCTCTGAATTCTGAAACATTATACTTCTTCCCTGTATTTCCCCACTCTTACTTCATCCTCCTTGAATTTCTCCTCCTTGAATTGATATAGACATTCTGAGCAGGAAAAGAGAGAGGAGGGGTAGAGAAGGAGCAGAGAGTCTTCCCTCACTGGATGTTACCTCCTGCCCTTCTTGTTCCCCGTCTCAGGTTGCCCTGGGGTTGTGGGGTCAATTCTCTCTATCCTATTTGATTTAGGAATATGATAGTAGAAGGTATCTGTGCCTGGCATCTTAGGTGAAGATCAGGGAGATGGCAAGTCTCATGGACATCTGATTGCTCATCATGGTATTGTGTATGGGAGAACTAACTTCTAGCTGTGCCTAGGCTGGAGCAAGCCCCAGATATCTGCAGATACTCATTGGCACTGCAGACTATCCACAGATTGCTAGGACTCCCTCCCAGTGGGGGCACACACACCAGGTGAGAGTGTATACCCAAGACCTGAAGGTCTTTCAGCAAGCCAGGAAGAAGCGACATGGACAGTCCCTGCTCAGTGTGCTTCAGGGAGCCATTCCAGAAAGCATTGCCGACTGTCTGAGTCAGGGCCTGGGTGAGATGAGTTACATCATGAGGAGGTGGCTGATGACCCCCCACCTCAAGGTGGCCTTGTGTGGAACTTAGGACAACTCCAGAAAGGACAAGGATGAAGGAGAGATTTCTTCTATTTAAGCAGGTTTTTGTTTCTCACATTGGGTGGAGTGGGGCTCAAAGTCAGAGACTAAAATGAGTTAAGGAAATAAGTCACATCTCCTTACTAGCATCTTGTGAATTTGTACCAGATACAGTCACGCTTATTAAATATTTTGTGCCAAGTATTGTACAAATGCTTCTTATGCATCTTCACATTGAATTCTTTTAACTTACTGAAGCAAATATTAATAATCACTATCTATGGAGGAAGCTGTAGGCATTCAAAGGTGGATTCATCAGCATAAGTTCACCTAGCCAGAAAGGGTGGAGCTCACTCCACATGCTCATACTCATACTCACCCTCATACTAGATAGGACCCTACGGTAGGCCATTTCAGTATTCTTTACGCAGAGCTCTTAGTGGAACAAACCTTCTCTTTGACAACAAAACCACCCTGGGTCTCTTTTCATGTGCCAGGTGCTCTGCTAGGCCTGGGCTACACAATGAATAGCGTTCACTTCCCTCCAGGGAGGTAGCAATCTGCCGCCACTTGTTCCTAGCACATGGAGGGTACTCAGGATGGGCCAGCTGGGTGGATGAGTTTGAAAGACACAAGGCATCAGTGAAGGAAAGAACGGCTTTGTCTAACTGCAGGTAAAGCACCAAGAATCTTGCAAGCACACTCACAGAAAGGGAACCGGAAAGAAGCAGGAGACTGACTCTGGTGGAAGTATGGATCTGATTTCTGAATGGTCCCTGCCCTAGGCAGTGTGGAAGACTGGTTGGCTGCAACCCTAATTCTAGTTGAACAAACCCTTGGGGAGCAACTGGGCTCAGAGAAGATACATGGGCTGATCTGAGAAGGTTGCTGTGTTTCTGAGGAGGAAAGGCAGGCAGAGAGCTTCCCAAGGTGGAATTGTGTTCAGAAGGGAGAACTCACCTCACAAAAGCACCCCCTTTTTGGTGTCTATAAAGCAACCAAACAATAAAAAGTCTATTAAATATTTTTTTTTGTACAGGTAGAATTAGATAGTGAGAGAGAGAGAGAGAGAGAGAGAGAGAGACAGACAGAGAGAAAGGTCTTCCTTTGCTGTTGGTTCACCCCCCAAATGGCTGTTACGTCTGGCGCACTGCACTGATCCAAAGCCAGGAGCCAGGTGCTTCCTCCTGGTCTCCCATGGGGTGCAGGGCCCAAGCACCTGGTCCATCCTCCACTGCACTCCCGGGCCACAGCAGAGAGCTGGCCTGGAAGAGGAGCAACCGGGACAGAATCCGGTGCCCCAACCGGGACTAGAACCCAGGGTACTGGCGCCGCAGGCGGAGGATTAGCCTAGTGAGCGGTGGCACGGCCCTATAAAATATTTGACAAAGGTAAGAAATATAGGTCATATTACAACTCACTGTTAGCATCTGTCACACACTCTGTTGAATCTGGGACACAAAGCTGAGCTTCAGGCTTCTGCAGGGGGAAAGTAGAAAGGGCTGGTTCCAGCGTCACAGCTCTGGCAGAGAACAGGCCGTGGTTGGGTTGCCAGGCGGTGAACGTCAGCCTGTCACTTCCTGCGGCTCTCTTGTTGGTACTTCTGTGGTGACAGCCAAGGGCAGGAAGGCCCTGTTGTTGGAATTGCCTTCGGGCGTTAGGTAGTCTTTGGTGGCTTGGAGTAGACACTGGCTCTTTTTATTTAAGTAGGAAGGGGATGCTCAGGAGGAGTATAGACGAGCCCACAGTATGGGAGAAGCAGCTTCTCTGGGGCAGGCGTCCAGCAGCACTGAAGGTGTTGGAGTGAGAATGACTCACAGTTTATTGAGGCCCTGCTAGGGCTGCAGCCAGTGAGCTCCAGTTTTAGGCAGCCTTTCCATCACTCTCTGGCTGGTTCCCTCCAGGGCAGCAGGAGGGTCTGCGTGGCCTGCACTGGACTGTGGACCTGCGCCCTGGCCAAAGGAAGCTAAGGCCTCTTAAGACTGATCCAACGGGGAAGAGGCAATTCCTTGAAGAAGTAGCTGGTGGTGCAGTTACTCAGAGAAGGCGGAGTGTGTGCCAGGAGGCCACGTAGACATCTTGGTCGAAAGGACTGAGCTTCCTGGAGCTCTGTTGACTGTAATGGGTTCCTTGGTGTGGTCTTGGAAAGACTTTGTGATCCTGTACCCCCCATCTCTCTTTGACCTGCTCTGATAGCTGCTCCTTGTGACCCAGCTTCTGCTGAATCCAATCTGATTGCCCTTTCTGACTTGTGTGTCCGAAATCCTACTGGAGAGTCGGTGGGACTTCTTGGGTCTTTCAGGAGTGTCAAAAATGAGGGAAGTTTTATCAATAGCTTGGCTTATTCCTGAAAACTCCCAATCACAGGAGATTGAACTCCAGTTTTGCCCCCGAGTGCTGCCCAAACAGGATGTCTGAGTTATTCCCCTCCACTCCCTGGCACTAATGGATACTTTCTTGGTGCTCCCACTGGAATTGCTCATTCTTGGCTTTTGCTGGATCTACCACTTCTCTGGAGTTGGGATGCTCTTGATTGTATCACATGTGAAATTTGATTTAGGACTATTGAAAAGTTGCCTATGAGGCCGGCGCTGTGGTGTGGTGGGTGAGGCTGCCATCTGTGGTGCCAGCGTCCCATGTGGGCACTGATTTGGGTCCTGGCCACTCCA